GCTCTTTCGACGATGTCATTCAATGTCTCCACTCGACGTCCTTTTTTAATCTGTGGAACTGCGATCGGGCTACTGGTAGACAACAAGGCTTTCCACTGATAAAAAGATGTCAGCATTTATGACACCAGATGGTTTGTTTGAATTCAATGTTATGCCAATCGGTTTCTACAACGCGTCCGCAACGCTCGAAAGAATCATGATCATGGTTCTGCGTGGCCTAAAATGGGATATTTGTTTATGCTATCTTGTTGACGTCGCAATTTTCGGTGGCAAATTTAAATAATACAATCAGCGACTTGACGTCATTTGAAAAAAATTATTTAAGCGCAAACACCAACACATTCACGCACACACACACCCAGGCATGAAACACCTAAGCATCACCAAACAATAGCCATTATCAAACAATAGTTGGGTCATTGTTTGTGTAGACCACCAGACGTGTTATGTGGAGACTGCCACAAAGCCAACCACCACGGCAATCGATGTTTCGAGTTACTTCTGTCGGCAGTCGTACTTCATCATGAACCACCTCGCATTATTGTGAATGATTGCGAATCCCTGTTCATTGCCGCCGTGGTCGAAGAGCTGTTGCGTCTCCGTGATTATCCATTTCGCCATGCAAGCCCCTCCCTATCTTCTGCAGACAAATGGTCTCGACGAGCCCACTACTCTAAGTTTTATGTACGTATATTGAAGGCACAAGAATTGGGATGACATCCTCCCCTTTAATACGTATGCCTACAGCTCAGCGAGGCATGAAGCCACTGGCTACAGCCTTTTCTACCTCAATACGCTCAACCGTCCCAATTCTTCACTGACACCAATCTTCTATTTCATACTCATGCGGACCTTTTATATTGCCCAGACATTTTGTAGCGCAAAGGAATCACTGTGTGTAAGTCGACTTCGTACGTTTGCATCCCAGGACTATTCCAAGATCACCTACGATTCACGACACGAAAACGTGTTTTATGACAAAGGTGACAAAGTTTGGCTCTAGCCACCATCTCGCAAGCGTGGCCTCTGTGAAAAGTTTCTGGCCCGTTACACCGGCCCTTCGTGATGTTCGATTACCTTAATGACCTGACATAATCGATACAGCTTGTCTCCTCAATCACGGCTACCATTCTCGGCAGATGCAACTTATTCCCGTCGTGCTCCTAATGCGCTGTCAACCACGTGACTTCGCGTTCACGTAGCCGTTACTCGCCCGGTGGGCTTCGTCTATGAAGGGAGGAGTGCTACGCTAACACGACAGGGAAAACGAAAAAGAGGGGTTCGAAGAACGCTTGTGTTGCAAATGAATTGGTACCGGACGTCAACCATTCAGCTCCTTTCCATCAGCCCACCTTCAAATAAATATCTTTCATCGTAACACTATTGTCACCGATCACCATGCCCTAAGCTGGCTATTTTCGCTAAAAGTTCCCAATGGTCGGTTGACCTACACGGAATTCCGTCTGCAAGAATTCAGCATTCGTGTTGTGTACCGATCTGATCGCAAGCATTTTGATGTGGATGCCCTTTCCTGCTCACCTTTGCTTGCTGAGCATATCAGTTTGTCTATTTCCGTGGGCGGTGGCCTTGCCATCAACATTTACGAAATGCCTTTCGAGCAACGTAAAGATCGCAGCATCACTTCGCTTCTAGACTTCATCCTCAACAAGACGCCTTCTCCTGTCTCTCGAACGCTTCGGCGCCAATCCCAACACTTGGCCGTTCGATATAACCTGCTCTACCACCACAGCTACAACTTCATTGGCCGAAAGGGGCTGCTTGTTATCCCCCGCAACTCCACTCCAACACCCACACCACGGTTCACGATTATCCACAACGCAGTCACGCTGGTGTCTTAAAGAAATACACCCGCCGGCACCTTCGTATTACACACCCTCGGCGTACACGCTCTCGTTGGAGAACAATCAAGTGACGCCCTTCAGAAAGTTGTCTGGAGAAGGGTATGGGGCACATGGAGCTGTGTCAAACAAATATTTCACATATTGCTGCAAAGTGGTAATGTGATCGGATATTTGAAACGATGGTATTGATTTTAAAGGTTGACGCTTGACACTATGAGAGTCTCTTGAAATGGTCATGCAATCCCAAAATACGCACACTCAGCACAATCAGGAAGCCGTCTTGAATGCCGCTTTACGAAACCTTGATGTTACCATTGCGATCACTCCGATGATGTTACTGTAACTGAAGTATCGAAATAAATGTTTGAAGGGTGCTCGTTACATGCCCTAGATATTTATCGCCATGCTTGCTTCATGTAGCTCAAGCACCGCTCTTAAGGAGGACATCTGTATGCCGCAAAGTTGCCATATGTTTATTTATTTCTTCTTTGTACGCCTCGTTGAATGGGACGAGTGGGTCTAAAGAGTGAAAAGCGCAAGTTGTTCCCATCTTATTAAAGGTGGTTGGATCTATACGCGTTTTGGCTGAATCGGTCACATGTTTCAGTGTTCGAACTGTGTTAGGCTGTTGGTAGGCTTCCCGGATCGTACTCACGACTACAACTAAGAAAGCGATTAGTGTATTGGCAAGCCCGTGTTTGTGCATTGTAAACCAAGGATGTATGCCAGTAAACGCAGGCAGTGTTAAAGGTATTCTTGAAAACATGTATTCCTGTTGCTATGTTGAGCTTGCAGGAAATTGGAGATGAACTCCTATTTTCACTTGCAGTCGGAAAATATTCTTTATCACGAGATTTATTTCTCTTGGTGAAGGTGGCCCTTCTACCAGCTTCCAGATTTTTTTGTTCCATGGGACCCTGACCTTACTGATATGATAATAAAGGGGCTTGTCTAACCAACAATGATGGTTTCTTGTATTAGAATTTTCAGTAAGATGTTCCCTGATAAAATTACCTTTTTCGTAAAAATGCGAGGCGTTTGGCTCCGTTTCCCTGCGAATTGCACAAACATAATTACCACGCCGAATACATTGTCGATATTTGTCACCAGTCCCCATAAAATCTTCAAGGCTAAAGATGTCTTGAAGTTGTCCGTATAACATCACATTGAAGTGATCTCACAACTTCTTTCTTTTACCAACAGTCTGCCAAGGCTTTCAAGGTCTGCATGCTACTGGTTTTCTTGGTAGCATTCAATACCATTGCATTAAACCGATTGTCGCCAGGTATAACCCCAATTATGTTTACTAAATAGTTCTGCTAAGCTTCACTAGCAGTTTTTTCTCCTAGTGTGCTGATTGGAACAGAGACATTTTCTTTAATATTATGCGTAAACGTTCAATAATACACTGTTGTTGTAGCGCATGCTGTTCTTGTTGGCTTCTTCATCAGCTTGAAAGCAAGCGCAAACACTTCCCTGCCATTTTAGCGGCTCCACTATTGTTTTCCTCTAGTGCCTTAATCGCGATTTTCTAGTTTTGGGCTCTCATTTTTTCACAATAGCCTGCAAGGTTAAGCAGCTTTGCCACCTTGTGTTTGTTTTTCTGTCTCAAGGCCCGTAGTTGGGACGATGTTCAGAGTCTTTGTTGTTTACGTTTTAGGTAGTCTTTCTTTTCGAATGCTATGATGGGCACGCTCTTGCTATAAATGCATGAAGAACCCAGAATAAAGAAAGGAAAACCATATGAAGGGCATCTAGTCTTACAAACATATTTGTTAGAGAGTCAACTATTCTCTCAAAATCACTTTATGTGGGTGAATTATTCTGTCGAATAATATAGTGCACTTGTGGCAATAGGACAAACTTTCTTGCATTCAGCGTGATGCTGAATACACAAATATAAATGTAAGCGACGTCTAAATGAACATTTGCGTAAACTCACGTTGTTGATTAGAATCGCCTGAGCACTTGACCCAGAAGACCCTTCCGTCAGAATGCAATGATTGCTTCTGCAGGTATGTTATATTATGTGTTCTATAGGTGAAGTCTCCACTTACCGGCCCCTTAGCACTGGTGATGACAGTCCAAACAGTCAATGACTAGCTTGGGAACGTCACCATTACGCGTAATCATTTCGTAGGAAGTGTCTGCTGAAGTCCGACAAATAACCCCAGTCGGCCGCTTATTCACAAGCATGGTGCTTTGAATGTTTACTAGTCAGTGACGTATTAGGGCTGAGTTATAATCAATTGCGTCACAATAAGTACAGGTGGTCTAGTTGGTATGACTGCATACCGAAACTTTTGCACACACAACACAAACAACCAAACTAAAGGTTCACAAGAGCTAGCGTGAACCTTGTGAACCTTTCGTTTGGGTCTTCGTGCTGTGCGTGCAAAAGTTTCACTATGAATCTGTCATGGTTGCACTAATTATGTATTACTCTATGATTGTTTTGCCAGAGTAGATTTTCAAGCTCAAGCGCGTTGTCACAGTCGCAATGTTTCCAAATTCACGCTTTTTTCACTTTAGTTTGTCTTCAACCGAGACCGCCAGAATTCTGTATGCTTTGCTTCCGTTCCCTTTGCTTTATCAGCTGTCTTTCCCGTTGACTGCTCAGAGGTGTGCTGCGGTTTGTGCTTTTTGTTATTCACAAAAGGAACTGAAATGTTCTGTGCACATGAATGGACAGTGATTACCTTATTGAGCATAAGTTGCTGATGATCACCTCTGTTTGCGATGAAGACGGCATGTGCGACACATTAGGCAAAAATAAACATGCACTGCTTGGAGCAGATGGACACCGTAAGTCCCTGTAAGTCTTTCTGCCAAATGTATCTGTTCCTGTGCATTGAATTTGCTTATTTCTTTAAACTTCGCAAACCAACCTCGTTTTCGTGTTTCTAATATCCACGGCTATTTTCAAAATAAACGCCACCACGCACTCTCGTGTGCCTTCTGACAGTGCATTGAAATCTAGTTGTTTGCAGTTACTAGCCGATGTTTCGTACCCTCATCTCCACACGAATATAGTATGGACTACAATTTTGCGTTGAGCGCTAGTTAACCGCTCGATGTGATGTGCAAAAAGCACTAGAAATTGAATTAGAGGTACATCCCATTGAATATTGTACTTACATATCTCCAGCAATCTCTGTGGCCGAATAATACTTTCCCCGCTTGTACTTTAGGATTGCTCGAAGGCTGCCAATCAGAGCTGCAAAATGGACAAGTATTTGGCTCAGATCTATCACTTTTTTTTTCGACATTTATCGATGATACACAAAATCAATAGCGTTGATTAGTTATGCGAGATGCACTTGGATAATAACGAAACAAGGGCGGCGCTTATTACACCTCTGAAACTGGTGCTTCGCACAGATCACTTGTGTACGCATTCAAGCAATGTCAGTTCATTCGAATCGTCTGGAAGCTGCTCAACTGCTTTAATAGATATATTGAAAATGTATCAATGTATTACCTGCTTCGGATTACATTATAAAAAACCAGCTGTGTGAAAACGTGTGGTCTTTTATTTGAGATGTATTTTTTGTCAACTGCATGCACTACCTATCTATCTATCTATCTATCTATCTATCTATCTATCTATCTATCTATCTATCTATCTATCTATCTATCTATCTATCTATCTATCTATCTATCTATCTATCTATCTATCTATCTATCTATCTATCTATCTATCTATCTATCTATCTATCTATCTATTCAGCAACTTCTGGGTGCTCTTGTGATCGCCTACTTAACTCGAGATTGACCACAAATAGAATGGGTGGGTAAAAAAATTATATGAACATCTGGCTTGTCGTGACATTATTTATGTGAAACTGCTTCGCGTACGCGCCAAATTGTTTTCTCCAAACACGTGTAGCACGTGCCCTTATTCCGCAAGCGCGGCTCCATCTGTAGCAGACGGCAAACGAGCGCCGCCCACACCGTCACCGATCCTGCACGGAACTAGTAGCCGCAACCAGCCAGCGGTGACGCCTAGCAGACGACACGCGTGGCTTTATTCCCTTTACTAGGGGACTACTCTGTACATGTATTTGCGTATAAAATCGGCGCATATGTCTAGCGTAGTTTCGAAGTGTTTCGCTCAACTAAAGAATTACTAAACAGTCATCTTCCCTGCGCATGCTTCGCGTGACATTGCTTCGCAAGGAATGAAGGATCACCCGGCATGTTTAAATATAAGCGTATGAAGAAAAATTGATTTCGGTAGCGTTGAGCCCACGAATGCAAGAAATAAATATCAACATCTCAGCAGGAACGACGCCAAGCATTTCGCCTAGCAATCAGGGGTTCGACCACACGCAACGCCATGCCATGTCTCCACGCTGTTTTGGAAAAAGGTCCAATGCAGGCGTGATATGGATACAACATCGAGTGTGCTTGCAGTGGTGACTATCTCATTTTACAAGCATTACATATGCAACCTTGGAATATGGGCTTCACCTAGGAATAACATTAAATGTAGGTAAACATCATTCGCTGAAGTTGGCGTATGTAGAATTTTCCACGTCAACGCCGCTTAGAAACAAAAGCGCTACATATGAACGCACTGCTTCTGGTGTAGGTGATGTCTTTGTTACAGTTGGCATCGTCGCACAACGGCAAAAAAACTCGTTATTTATGGGATATGAGGCTGTTAGCATTTGTCAGCGCCTGTGTCATTTTCTCACAATTCATAGGGTCATTTTGTACCGCTTCATTCAATACTGAGACCATAGTCATATATATGTGTATATACATGTATATATATTTATACATACACACACACACAGATATATATATATATATATATATATATAATATATAATATATATATATATATATATATATATATATAAGATCTAACAGACAGTAATGCCAAGGAATGTACAGGGGAAGTTATTAGAACCAATGGAATGTAAATAAGAAGAAAGAAAAGTGGATGAAAAAATAACCAGCCGTGGGACCAGCCGTGCCCACGGCTGGTTATTTTTTCATCCACTTTTCTTTCTTCTTATTTACATTCCATTGGTTCTAATAACTTCCCCTGTACATTCCTTGGCATTACTGTCTGTTAGATCTCATTAGTATTGTGTTAGAACACGGAAAAAAACGAGCCCTTAGGTATACACTTCTTTCCCTTATATATATATATATATATATATATATATATATATATATATATATTATATATATATATATATATATATAATGTGTGTGTGTTAAGTATATTCCACAACTCGTCTCACGTGCACAATCAGCGGCAGCCTTTGAAATGAACCACACGGCCCATTTCAAAACTTCCGTGTAGAGAAGCGCAGAGCAAAAGAGAACAACAATACGGGTGTTTTTCTCGTACTGTCCCCAATATGCGTGTATGGCCATGCACCACGAAAAATCATCCGTGGAGCATATAACTTCGAAAATGCTTGCAACTGCAGGAACGACAGTAACATTTGTTCTGTGGACGCCCCTGCTGGTTGTCAAGAGTATTTCACATTTAGCTTCTACTACACATTCTGATCTTCCAACTTTGCAGGACTTCGCAGACGCTTCAATGATGCGTTACCGAGCCTGTCACATCCCGGAATTCTAGCGACACTAGTGCTAATTTTAGGGCGCTATGTTTCGTATTAACTAAACGTGCAAGTTCGTGACTGGGTGAGCCGTTTTCTGCTGCGTCAACGTCCCTAAATATGTGCCATCCCGTCTCCCCAGCGAAGTGCCTCTTGCCTCTGAATGCGCATTCTAACATCGTGCACTTGGATCACGTTATCAAATCCGGCTGCGGTAACCGCATTAACTATGTAGTCGAAAATGCTTGAGTTCCACGCGCATATATTTAGGTGTGTGCTAAACAACCCCAGATGGGCGAAATTTCTGGGGCCCTCTACTACGGCTTCTGTCATAATCATATGGTGGTTTTAGGGCGTTACACCAACAGGTACCATTAGCCAATGGTGTCATAACAATGGCATTTTGCACAAATCACTGTAGAGACGTTTATGATAACTGTAGTTTCAGCCGGACTGATATCAAGAATTCACGAAGTGTACTGCACAAGTACCATTTTAAATTAGTGCTGTATGGGATTGTTTTGTAGTACTTCTTGCGAATTTTTCAAAGGGCCTTAAGCATTTGGTACTGCTATTTGTATACGTAAAGCGCGTTTGTAATAAATATGTAAGAGAGAGATAGAAAAGAGGCACTCCTGTGTGGTATAGCACCTGCTTGCCGTGCAAACGACCGGTTTAGATCGTCCGTCAGACCCGGAAGCTTATATTGTTTATTTTATTGGCATCATTCTCGTTTTTTTTTTTATCACAGATGAGATGATTTTTCGCACACAACCAACGCAATCCACACCGACACCGATGTGGGAATCACTGTCACGTTTATATGTCTGATCACATTGGTCATGTGATATTTCTAGTAAGGCCAACACTACGCCGGTATACGATGTCACACTTCACTACAAGCTCGTCAGTTTTAAGAACTGATTGAAAAAAGTAGATTCTCACCTCATCAGGAAAAAGGTAAGGGCTATGAAGCATACGGTGAAGTTCATTTTCAACAGCTTTTTTTTTCTGTAACTTCTTCAAAAAGGAAATGGTTTGGTCCACTGCGTGAAGAATAAAAACTTGCGTTAGTTGTTTTCGGTGAATGTAGTGCGGGAGGCCCTAGTACCAAATGTAGTATGCTCATCGAGCGTGAATTACATTGATGCTGATTTTTTATCAGTAAATCAAGAAAAGCATCTTTAAACAGTTACACAGGACACATAAAAATGATATACTTTAACAAAAAGACACCAGATCAAATACCGCCCTGCGAAACATTTCACATGAATTGTGTGAATGCATTTTTGTGCATAAGTGAGGGTATCCACCAAGATGTGAAGTATGGCTAGAAATTTTTATGATGAACATTTTGTTTCCGAAGACTAGTACAGCCTAAAAAGTAATTTGTTGGTCTCACATTCAAAAAAATACTAACACAAAACAAACGCTTCTAGATGTTTGAAAAAATTCACTTTGTGAAAATGAATTCACGAAATTGAATTCACTTTGTGAATTCACTTTTGTGGAAGCTTTAAATAGTGCTTCTTTATGCTCCAAACATGTATATCCCTCATCAGATGAAGTTTTTTCGTACCCTGGACAACGCAATAAGAGCTAAGGCAGGAGAACGAATATGCCAAAAAAGAACAAAACATTTCTTGATTCTCAAAAGAAAAGTATTCGCTTTTGAAGTTCGCAACTCCTGTTGCACTGGCTCCATCACATCCCTTCATCATACATAAAAACTTCCATTGCTGGTGACTGTGTTTGTACGCATTACACATATACTCAGTGGCACTTTTAATGAACTCTTTCATAACCATCTATTTCACACGTTCATTACCGGCATAATAACCTTCATAGTTTCTTTTAGGGCCCATGCTTTATGACGGATCCATTTCAACATATTTATCTTCATCATTCAGTATCGCCACCATCAGCGTGGTAATGTTGATAAGAACGTTTTGATTAAAGCCATCAGCGTTTCAGCGTTTAAGGTATATAAACTCTACTAAAGCTCTGCTTCAACGCATTGATGATAGACGTCATCATAGTCATCATCCTTGATCACCCAAAGCCGTATTTTAGACAAGTGGTTGTTGCACTCCGTGCGCTTCTGTCGCAGAACGTCACCTTACGAGCGTGAAATAGTGACCAACAAGGGCTTTCATGGTGTCTGTAAGCGACTACTTCAGATATTTCTGACTAAATCCTTATAAAATGTTAATTTTGATATCGCAGCCATTATCAGCACTATTTAGCCACTGGTTTGGTTTGGAGTCAAACTCTTTAACGTTGATTGATAATTGATTGATATGTGAGGTTTAACGTCCCAAAACCACTATATGATTATGAGAGACGCTGTAGTGGAGGGCTCCGGAAATTTAGACCAGCTGGAGTTCCATAACGTGAACCCAAATCTGAGCACACGGGCCTACGACAATTCCGCCTCCATCGGAAATGCAGCCGCCGCAGCCGGGATTAGAACCCGTGCCCTGCGGGTCAACAGCCGAGTACCTTAGCCACTAGACCACCGCGGCGGGGCAACTCTTTAACGTTACCAAGCTACATTGATGTTCGAAACTCTGTGGGGTCAAGCTAGACCTCTAGATCAGCCAACTTCAAACAGTTTAAACAACCGGTACCCGCAATGAAAAGTGGACGTACCGCTCAGCATACGTCGCCGCGCTGACGCTTCGGGAGTCGTTGACAAATGCGAAAACTCAAGGAGAAGATGAAGACAGAAAAATGTAGTGTGGACGCGGCTTCTCTTCTGTTCATAGTTTTTCCTACATGATTTCTCCCAGCAATTCTTCATTTTGCTCTGTTAGCGACTTTCCTACCACTTCCTACTCTACCATTCACTGCATAGTCTAAAACAGACACAGGAGTATGGTAAATGGCCTCACCACAATAGCTTCAACGTGCCGCAAAATAAAAAAATAGACTGTTCTCCACTCTCCACGTTTATTGTGGTGGGGAAAGAAATCTTGCATGGCTAAGTCCAAGTATGGCCACCTTTTTTGCAGTCATGCCAAAAATAATATTTCTTGTTTTTTGTGTTTTAGATGTAACTCAGGGAATTATTTGTTTTACAAATGTTTGAATATATGTAGAAACATAAGATGCCTGTTATAAAGTTGCATTTTGCCTGGCGCTTTCTGGGACATGCAATGCACTTTTTATAGAATAATAACCAGCTTTTAAACATCCATATTCATAAGTTTATATTTATGTTCAGATACTAATCTTTATTCTCCGTAGCAGCATGTCGTAAAAATTGGGCGATCATCAAGCTCCGCATTTCAGTGTTGAAAGTTACAAAAATATTTTCTCCCTAGTGCGTACTTTAGCCACCTTATGCACACTTTTTATTGTATTATGGTAATCGAAAAGTTTATACTGGGCATTACTACATTGTAATCAATAAAGCTAAAAGTGGGTAGCGTCAGTGAAGCTTTCGTATGTGGCTGCTCTCTGTGTAATGGGTAGCATGCTTTGAACCATTGGCAATTTTACGCCTTAAGTCTTACCGAATTTAACATGCAGACACTACGTGCCCTTAATAAAACGGGTGGCACTAACGTGCGTGCTTTTGTAGTGAGTGGCCGGCTTCAACTCTGAAGTCACTATGGTAATTCCATGCTTTGAAACCGGATGAAATGGTGCGCTAGTACCACGCATTATTAGAGCGATATTAGACGTTGTATTGTGAAGAATATACACATGACGCGTAGGTTTGTAAAGCATGAATGTTGCTTTCACTGCATTTCCAAGTGGAAGAAATTCTTTTCGCTATATTTCTAAGTATATACGTATATCGAATTTGTAATAAACGCCATGTAATAGAGAAAACAAAGCGGACGCGCAGCTGAGTTGTAGAACGTCTGCTTGTCACGGAAACGACCCGTCTTCGATCCTCACTCGCACGCGGTATATTTTACCATTTGTTTTATTTTCATTTAGCACTCTAGGAGCATCTTGTTGCGTTAAGATGAAGTCATAACTCAGCCAGCCTAGAGGCCTACATCGCTTCGGCGCTTACGAGGCTAGGCGCTGCACCTCTCTAACTGCATTGTTTAAATTCATGAACGTGTGGTTGACGTAACTCACGACGCTGCCTTGCGATTTTGAACACAGTGATAGGCGAAGTTTTTCAGCCTAATTCATGTGCTCATTTGAAACGCTGACTTCCACAAAGATATCCTGTCAAAGTCAAGGTCTTTTTTCGAGGGGATAGAAGTATTACGGATGCGCGCCGCCCCTGTTCACGGATTCACGGATTTTAAACTTTTTCAATTCGCATTTATTGTTTATCGAGTGAAAATTCTACATACCTGGTTATTGAACCTAGGTGTACGTACGCCTGAATTGACGCCGTTTTTCGAACATAAAGAATTGAGGAAGCCGGAAAGAGCTGAGACAGGTGAACAGCCAGGCGTGGCTACGCGACGTAGCAACACTAGAAGTGAAGAAGACTATATAAATATCAAACTATACTCATCATATATTCTGTAACCATAGGGTGGAAAAACTCCCAAGTTCCGCAATTCAATTTCACCGCATGGCAAAAAGGCATAGTTCGTACATTTAATCAAAATAGTTTATTATTGTTCGTAGACATATCCACTTCTTCGAACAACAGCTCAGGTCTGCTGTTTCTGGCAACATACCGCATGCCCCAGTATTATTAACATTGACTGTCTATTAGGCTGACGCTAAAGACTGAACAATCGAAAGCGTATGCTTTAAAGCAGTTGTCTCAAACTCACCTTTGCCTGTGTGCCACCGTCACGAAACATCGCACATCTGAAGGACCGGGAAGGTTAAGAAGGTCGATGCGAAGAGGAGGGAAGGTTGAAAAAATGCCTGCCAACTTTGCCATTAGCAGAACGTATTTGCGATATCTTCCATATGAGCCTTTTACTAAGGCTATTTGACGCCAGCTTCAAATAAACATATCAATAGTGATCTTCAGTACAACTTGAAGCCGAATGCCGACTTAGAAACATACAAAATTTGTTCCACAATTGTTCTTTAAAACCTTGTTGCCGCATGGTGTTTCTCAAGGCGACATTCGTTAGACTAGTCGTTTTTGTGGGCCTTATGAATATACGTGATAATAATAGAAATTAAGGCAGCCTCGCACTAGTTGTGCCAAGCTTGAACGAAGTGCGGAGCTGGGATACATTTTTTTGCTTCTCCTTGTTTTTTATTTCTTTCATTGTTTCTTCCAGGTTTATTGCTTCTCCTTGTTTTTATTTCTTTCGATATCTCTTCAACATTGTTCTGTCTGTTTTTTTCTCTTGATTTCCATAACTTAAATCGTCCTATTTTTTTTCTTTTTTAACTATTTTTTCTTGATTCCTCTTTTTCTTCATTTTTACATGTGGTAATTTTTAAAGTGCACCTGACTTGATGTCTTCGTGGATACTCGGAAGAAGACACCTCTTTGGATCAAGCGCGCTCACATGGCTATGCGTTGCCTTGTTTCGCCTGCATTACGCCAAACGACAACTGCAGCATACGACGCAGTCTAGTTCTGTAACCTGCTTCGCACATGAAATTATAGGACGAAGTCAGTTATGCGCCAAGGTGACAGATTGCTTAACATCCACGGTGCGCGTGTTCAAGACGTATGTTTTATGAAATGTTCTCAGTCATGCAGTTGTACTTCCGCCTCCATTATACATCAAGATCTGAACGCTTTTGACAAAGAGATGATGTTTTACGAACAGATGACGCCATCATAAAAATTCTTTCATCTCATGACGTCTCTGATGGTTACATTTTGTCGCCGAGCGTGACTCATGATGTAAATTCTCATTTCGCGAGGTCAGCAAAGAGTCTCGAGGTGTCGTGTGAGAAGCATCTTGGCGTTAGTATTCAGGTTGCCTAAAGTAGTGAATGGGGCTTGTTGGTACATGATTCTGACACACTACTGCGCAAAAACAGACTATGGACATAAGGAACAGGAACGACGATGACGAGCGCTGAACTCTCAACAACGTCTAATGGAAAATTTCTGTATATTCTTACTACCTGACACGCAGTTCATCCATCTCCTTCTTGTTATTAGTAGGTCTTAGGCATAACACGTTTACACAACCCTATCCGAGATATGCAAAGCGATATGCTTCTATATTGACACGATTTATCCTTTGTCATTAATAATAAAAGAGGTTTTGTTTGTGTCGGGAGTGCCTTCTTAACAGGCTATATAGTGATTGGCTAAAGAACCTTCAATGTCCTTTCTATTACGTGAGTTTCTTATATTGGCATGCTTCCTTAGCTGACTAGCTCCCAGTAAAGCCAACACACACATTTCCGCATTCTCAATACACTTCGCAAACCATGCCTTCTACACAGTCAACAAAGGGTCGACTGCGTTTTGTGATTTTGACGTCATTCCACTGAAGAAACGTTTTCAAATTACGTGAAAGCTTGTGCACATAAGGCATCACAGCTACCTTCTGCCAGTGCGGTGTGCTGGCTTCCCAACACTACGGGTGATTGCGCATCTCCTTCGGGAGGGTTTTTCTGACTAGAATAAGAAGGCGCTTAGTGATGCACGACGCTTTCATCATTATCAGCCCTTTAATGATTGACTGATTGATTGATTGATTGATTGATATGTGGTTTTACACGTTCCAAAACAACCATATGATTGTGAGGGACGCTGTAGTAGAAGGCTCCTCAAGTTTTGACCACCTGAGGTTGTTTTACCTGCACTCAAACCTGAGCACACAAGCCTACAGCATTTTCGTATCCATTGAAAATGCGGGCGCTGCAGCCCGGCTTCGATCCCGCGACCTGTGGGTCAGCAGCCGAGTACCTTAGCCACTACACCACCAAGGCGGGGCTTCGTTACCAGCCCTGACCAAAGGCTAAAGATTTGTCCCACCATAATTGAAAAGTGCTTTCACGCATTCTTGATTGACATTTTCAAATGAATGGGACAAAGACCGCTTTGCCAAATGAAGAAAAATTTCACAACAGAAGGTCTTAGTATCGCTGTTTAGTTTGACATAGTCAGTGCACTCATAGGCCATAACACCATGCGTCATTCATACTTTTTGTCTGGTGACTTGGCATCTACTGATGTCATCCTTGCTCAAGGCGAGGGTGCTCCTCTTAAGTGCATTTGATCCTCTTAAGTGCATTTGTTTCTATTTTTCCCGCCTAACTCGGTTGCAGCATGAATCGACTTCAATAGTGCAGTCAAATATTGCTTACAACATTTTTGAAACACGCTGTCACCTCTGGTACTTTCTGTCAACAAAGGACATGGTATCAATATGTCTACACAAATGTACGGCCCATACAGACATTTTCACATTGGTACAATATAAATTGTCTATGTTGAAAGAGGAGACCGACCAAAAGATTTCGCGTCAACAGTCAAAGCTTGCGAGCCGTAAAGAGACATCTGTTTACATGAGTATTTTTGGCTTACGGAATTGTCTGTGCTGAGAAATGAGACCCATCAAATGTTTTCACGTCAATACTTGAATCTTGCAAGCTGTAAAAAACTTTGTGATGATGTATATTTTTGTGAATTAATGAATTATATTGATACCGAAGCACATGTTTATTTTAGGTATTTTATATATTGGCATATGATATGCTGTACACTTGCGAAAATTTGTTCAAAAGGGGTTGGAGCCACCAAGGGTACCTTCGTTTTAATTAAATTTAGTGGCATATTCGAGAGCATAGCATCATTTGCTATAGTGTGCCATTCGTTAAACATTAACGCTAAGTACACAAGCCGCATTGTGTCTTTAATGCGGCGGAAATCAGTGATGAACATTTTCGAAGAATTCAATGTTTAAACATTGCCGCAGCATTTTCGAATACGACGAACAGCGTGCGCACAGACGAATGACGCCTGCGAGCGTGTTTGTTTAGGTAGGCGTTTATTACGTCGTGGCCCGACGCGCCCGTCCTAACAGAAGGTTTGAACATCACCTAACGCCTAGCCATGTGTGGCTGAACATTGGAAAACGAGGCACTCGGCTTGAGGCCAAACGCACGATGATTGGATTTGTATGGTACTTCACCCAAAGAACACACGCATTGATTACTGTCAACAGCAGCCATCGATGCTGTTGAATAGACATTGATAGACCCGGCCAGGGCAAATCAGCAGTCCCCTTACTCTTTTTTAGTGTTAAAAAAGAGAAGCGTGTTAACAGGGGCAGAAAAAGAAGTCAAGGCACCACAAACGCCTTGCGAATACACCACGAATACCAACAAACTAGCTCAGCTGTCTCATATTCAAATACTCCATCACGTCTCCACTCAGGGCACTGACACTCGAAGCTCCGATTTCGAGAATTAAGACAAGTGTTGATAATAACAGCATACGGAATCTCATTATCTGAAAAGCCCAAACAGCAAACTTACTCTAGTGCGCATTCTAGATTGGAGCATATATTATCTTCGAATGACGTAGGCACGCGATATCAAGTCTCACAACTGTTAAGGCACTTTGAATAGTAGAAATCATATCGGTCACAAAAATTTATTGAAATGAATGTACTGAATCTGCAGTAATTATATGACGGGAAATGAATTTTGACTCTGCCTAAACAATCTGGTATTTATTTTAAACCGACAAACAAAAAAAAACGATTGTGGAAGCTTGCAAAAGTTTTACATACTTCGTTTGTTTGGCATAAAATACGGTATTCTTAAAGATACGTCTTAAGCTAACATTCGTAAATAATACAAGCCCATGAAGAATTTCTCGCACTTCTCACTTCTTCATTTATAGCCAGGGTCTTGTTCTAGCACACTCGATGTCTAAAGCAAGGGTTCTTAAAGCCAAAGCTTTTGACTGGGCTAGAGGGGTGGGGGTGGGGTCCAGTGGGGCCAGGTTTCATCGCACTTAATTGAGCATAGCAGGGGTTCTAAATACCAACGTGTTTGACAACCACTAGCTCACAGCGCACTTTGTGACATGAACGTACAAAAGACACACAAAGACAACGGCTGACTAAAAATAATTTTATTTTGAAAGAACATGCTGGTAGAGTTACTCAGAATCGGCCACTGACGAGTGTGCGCTGACGAAAACGTCCTTTGGACATGATGACACGTAATACTTTGCGCAAAACTAGAAAAAGCGCGCGTGGAAATTCTTTTCTTCAAGAATGATAACTATTTTTGACAGTGTTATAGAAAGTTTGCTAATCGCCTTTTTTCAATTTTTCTTTACTTATTTACAGTGTTGTTAACTACAATGTTGACTTTGTTTTGTCACATGAAGTTTCAACAATAACAGTATGGTCACCAAACAGAGAAGTGCAACCATTCTATTAGAAAAAGAGAAGTTTAATATTGAGGGTATGCAATCTGAAGAAAAAAACATGATCAATAAATCTCGTAACGCTATCTACAAGAGAGTTATTATTCTTTCAGGAAGCTAACTCCATCACACGTTTTTTTTTTGAGCATTGAGAAAAAGGTAATGCAGATAACAAGTCAGGCCAAATGGTGCCCTCGGCGCATGCGCTATTGTAACTCTTTTCTTGTTCTCTCGTCTTACGTTTTTATATAATTTCAAGCATAAAGATAAGTGCTCGACTTTTTGCCCTGCCCCATCGACTAATTTTCATGTCTCCGCTGCTGGCTTCTTGCTGGTCGTACGTAACAGGGGCGACAAAGACGAAATTCTACTGCAGCAAGAAAGCCAGCTTTACGTCCATACGCGACCGCCTGCAGATTGAACCCACCAGGTAAAGCACAACCTACCGAAATTCAAGTACGCAAAACTGCCAAGCCTACTTAGTAAAGATGG